CAGCCAACACAATAATGGTCGCCTGCTGTGAATGAAAAAAAATTATATCTTTTTTTGTCAGATCAGTAAAAAAATAACATATTTTGTGATGTGCCGCAGAATGTTAGTAATTAGTGTACGTGTGCCATGAGATGAAAAAGGTTGAAAATCGCTGCCTTAGACAGATTTATTTACTGGGAACCCACAATGTGCCTAACACTGACGGCATACACGAAACAACAGTTTGCATTTGTAAAGCGCTTTTCCCTTTTCAGGTTCTCACAAATAACATTTTAAAACAAACTATATTTGTTATTCAGCATTAACTGCACATGCTTAAGACATGTATTATTTATAAATTGGTCCTACAAAGGAAAGTTTTAGCTTTTAAAAGACAAAAATGTATATCCAGTCATACTTGTGTATATATGTTTTACAAAGTTATGTATGGAAGTCAGTCAACATGATAAATACAAACAGGTTGTCTGACAAAATAAAAAAACAATTTTCAGGGAATGGAAATGGCACATTTGGCAGAAGATGTCCACAAATAATTAATTACTTTAGCACAATAAAGATATTCTCTTAATACTAGAGTGTCTTAGAAGAGGATACTCATTACTTCCTAACCATCTGTCATCACTCCTCCCCAAAAAACTAATTAGGGTTTCATCTAATCACACATGATAAATCATGCAAATGTGGATGGCAAAAAACAGTTTAAAGAAGTTAATATTATAACATTTTGTATTTTAAAAATCACAGGCTTCAAAACTAACCTTTCCCGTTCTAATAACTAGCCTTTCCCGTTCTAATAACTAGCTTTCCCATTCTAACCTGCTTATTTTCCTCATCCTTTCCTGATTAATTATTAGATAGCGAACTTACAAATTAAAATCTGAACAAGAACAAACTTACAGGTAGTAGAGCTTTCCTGCAGCAGGCAGCGCCCTTTTCCGGTAATCTATCCCAGAATCCAGCTGGACCGTGTTGCAGTACTCCTACAATCAAACACAGATGACATCTTTTTAACCAAGGGATGGCTTAGAATTACAATTTTTCTGCTATCTTATTTTTTAAATTTTTCTCAACAAAATAATGAGTTTAGGACAACAATAGCTCTCATGTAAGAATCACAAAACTTGAATATTAAATATACCAGTGTATCAAACCAAAAAAAATCAGTTTAAAAAATTAAGATTTGCAGCATGCCTTCCTGAAACTTTGTGAAAACAAAGCTGTCGGCAAATCCCCTATATAAGTGCTTCACATTTTTTTTTAAAAAATCCCAATTTCTATTATCCAGTAATAAGAAGCTAGAGAACATCAAAAAGAATAACTCATGGGTCTTAATCGTCGCAATAGAGAGAGACAGTCTAAAGCAAGTTGGGCCAGAATGTCAGCATTCACATTTTAAACCAGATGATCTTACCCGAGTGATGCTATATGTACTCCTGCCCTTCACTTCAAAATGCTTCTGCTCTTGACCTCAATTCCCTCTCCAGCCATCAAAGTCTTCAGAGCTCTTTCCTACAGTGAACACCTCCCTCCAACCTGAGCCAGCCTGTGCCACTGATGTCCTCTCTCCTCCCAATTACTCTCCCCTTTCTATGCTCTCCTCCCCAGGGTGCTGATTGTATGGACACATCACACACACCCTAAAACTCCTACTACAGAAGCATATGAACTTTTGCTACATTTATCTTGGTCAGTTGGCTTTGTTTTGAAAGGGATAAACATTAGATAGATAGATGATAGATAGATAGATAGATAGATAGATAGAGCTATTCAGTCCAATAAAACAATGGTGAGCAACAGATTTCAAACACAATTCTAGAAACATTTACAGGCTGATCTTTTCATTTTCATTCAAAATGAAAACTGCTTTATGAAATTCATGAGGAGAAATTGTATTTTAATAACTTTACTACTTTTGTTAATAAAAACTGCATTTGGGGGCCAAGGTGCTTGTGGCGAATTATATTTTCCAAAGATGGCTGCAATAATCTCTCCATCCCACCATGTGGTGTCGTTGACATTCTAGCCATCAAGAAGTGGGAACTAGCCAAAACCGGTTTGGCTCAGTGGATAGAGTGTCAGCCTGCGGACGCGGAGGTCCTGGGTTCGATTCCGGGCAAGGGCATGTGCCTGGGTTGCGGGCACATTCCCAGTGGGGGATGTGCAGGAGGCGGCTGATCGATGTTCCTCTCTCATCGATGTTTCTAACTCTCTCTATCTCTCTCCCTTCCTCTCTGTGAAAAATCAATAAAGTATATTAAAAAAAAAAAAAGAAGTGGGATCTAGAACAACAAGAAAAGCCCAGAGAGAGCAGAAGGAAGGAGATAATAAAGATCAGAGGAGAAATAAATGACATAGAGTCCAAAAAAACAATACATAAAATCAATGAAACCAAGAGCTGGTTCTTTGAAAGGATACACAAGATTTATGAACCTCAGAAATGAAAGAGGCGAAATAACAACAGACCCCACAGAAATACAAATGATTGTTAAAAAATACTATGAACAACTCTACTCCAACAAACTAGACAACCTGGAGGAAATGGACATATTCCTAGAAAAATATAACATTCCAAAGTTCAATCAGGAAGAATCTACAAATCTCAATAGGCCATACCCCACAAATACAAATGATTGTTAAAAAATACTATGAACAACTCTACTCCAACAAACTAGACAACCTGGAGGAAATGGACATATTCCTAGAAAAATATAACATTCCAAAGTTCAATCAGGAAGAATCTCT